AAGTGTAACTTTTTGTTCAGAAGTAGAAGTTACTCCAGTTTGAAGAGAGTCTTCAAATTTATGCCAGAACAGAATATTCAGTGATAACCTCTTTACACTGTAGACAGCAGATTCAGTAACACAGATTTGTTTTCTTGCAATACAACTAAATAAGATTCCAAAACAGATCACTGTCAAATGTGCAAAGCCACCAAAACCCTCCCCTGCAGGCCAGGAAGTCTTGGAGAACCTCCAGTTTCTCCAGGTCTTGATTACACGTCAGATGCAACAGCAACCCTGGTCAGAGGTTTTCCTCCTTCCTAGACAGCAAAGTATGAGTACTTGTGTCCTTACACAAGTCTGCATGTCCAGGGAGGAGAGGGGAGGGGATTGAAGGCTGCCTAAGAGGTAACTCAGAAACTTTTCCTCATGCTCCTTTCCCACCCTAGGACTGAGGGCCTGATAAAAGACATAGACAAGCAGATTATGCACACTGCTGAAACAAAGCAAGATCAGTGCATACAAACTATGTATGTATGCACTGAAAAATCAAGCACTTAAAGCCACATTACTAAGCAGCAGAAATCATAAGTGAAGGAAATTACATTAATTTTCTGGGAAAAAAAGAAACAAGGAAGGTCCTCGAACATCAAATACAGGGAAGTAAACCAGATCATAACAACTGCAACTAGCAAGCTAAAAGGGAGTGCTCTGCTATTACCAGAGTTGAAAGAAGGAAGGGCTTTTCTCTTGTTCTTGGCATGGGCATCTGGAGCAGGGAAGGTGAGGCATGAAGTATGCACTCTACAGCCACTAATACCACTGAAACATCTCCAGCCTGCCTAAATTGCAACCTGATCATCTCTTGAATAGGGAGGTATAATTTTTGGCAATTTTCACAAGCCTTCAGTAAATTAAGCCATTCAATTACCAGCAATGTAATCCAAGGATTAGAAATACTCAAAACTTAAACACACATGAAAGCAAACTTCACCATAGGTCCACTCCTAGGAATGCTGAATCTTTAAGGAAACTGGACTGGTAACTATCACGAAAGCTTGCATTCAAATTTAACAAATGTATTTAATTGATAACAACCTGATGCCTATTATTTCCAAAAGTAAGATATAAAAGGTAAATTAAACAGACAAACCTCAACAAATTTGAGAACATAACTTTAATTTGTAAACTTTTCTGCTGTCCTCTTCTGCTTCCCTGTCACCTTCCCCTATTAGGGTCTATTGCTGTCCTTACAAACTTCTCCAGCTCCCATTTCCTACTATCCTTTCGCTGTTTTCCTTCTTCATGCTTGGAAGTACAGTTTTAAGTGATACTCTCTCTCCTTTTACACTGCCTGTAAGGCCAGAAACACTGATAGTACAAGAAGAGAGAACTCCCTTCTAATACTTCCTGTCACAAAGGCCTCTAGAAGAACAATGCAATAAAAAGCATATCTGTTCCTATAGCTGTCACATTATTAAACCCAAAACATCCCTGTTGTGAAAAGGAGCCTTCGGGGAAAGCAGAGTATGTCTGGTGCAGACAAAACTGTTCATTAAACTGACAAATCCATCAAGCCTTTATTCAACATACTGAAGTTGAGAGTATTTCTGCCTTCGTAACTTGGTCAAAACTTTTTTATTTTCCACGGGAACACTGATTCACACTTTTTGAACACCAAAGTGATCCTGTTTCCTCCTACCTCAGTTGTCTAGTTTTTGCACAAAAGCAGAGCATTTCAGAAGGCTGGGCTTTTTAGTCTGAGGCAAACATAAGCTCACTTTCCAAAAATGAGAAAGAAAAAAAAAGGCTAAAAGCAGCTCATCAGGGAACACTTCTCTTTGTGTGATTTAGATATAATGATGGTACAAGGAAATGCAGGCATGAAAGCATCAGAATCATTAATATGTTGTTCTTCAGTGCACCCCTCTAAAAATTAAAAATATTTTATACTGTTTTCTTACAGGTGACTTTCTATGTATATCATTAGTAAATGGATTTACACAGTTACGCTACAACCTTGGAGACAGAACAATCATCCTACAGACCCTTCAGAAGGTCCACACAAATGGAAATACATGGCACTTACTCAGTGCAGGAAGAGTTGGTAATGAAGGCTACCTGGACCTGGATGGGATCAACGTTACTCAGAAAGCCAGTCCTGGAATGAATGCACTAGACACACATTCAGATTTTTTTGTTGGAGGGGTATCCTCCTTAAACCTTGTTAATCCAATGGCAATAGAAAATGAGCCCACAGGTTTCACTGGTTGTATTCGAGAAATTGTTATAAACAACAGGGAACTGAATCTTACTGTGACTGACCCCAAGGGTGGAGCCAACATTGGTGACTGTGATGGAACAGATTGTGGTTACACTGTGTGCAAAAATAATGGAACATGTCAAGTTGGAAACTCAGGCTTTTCTTGTTCTTGCCCAAGAGACTGGACAGGGACCAAGTGTGAACAATCTATTCACTGTTCACAAAACATGTGTGGGGCTCACGGGCTTTGTATTCCTCAACCTTCTTCATTTTCATATTCCTGTGCATGTGCACTAGGCTGGACAGGTAAGTACTGTGATAACAAAATCAAATTTTACATAGCAAAGTTTGTTGGTAACTCCCACATTAAATACACAGATCCTTTTTATGGAAAAAGAGACCTCCAGTACAGCCGCCTTTCCTTAAATTTTACTACTAATCAAACTGAAGGCTTAATAGCTTGGATGGGAAAAAGTGAAGATGAAGATAATGACTTCCTTGCCATTGGTCTTGCCAATGGAACTTTAAAAGTTGTGATTAATCTTGGAGAAAGAATCTCTGTTCCTCTAATTCATAGGAAGTATTTAACCTGTTCTGATGGAAGATGGCATTTCACAACTGTAGTTCAAAACCAAACTTGTATTAAGGTTTATCTTGATGAGGAACTAATCCTTTTCGAAGATATTGACCCACAAAGGAAATACACTGCTTTAAACTATGGTGGCATTTGCTACTTTGGTGGGTTTGAAATTGGCAGGAAAGTCAATATAGTCACTACAGGGCTTTTTACGGAGGAATTCATTGGTAAGATTAAAGATGTTGTGCTCTTCCAAGATTCTAAAAAGATTCAGCTAATGAAAGCAGAAGGATACAACATTCATGATGGAAATTCTGGAAATTAATTGAAAAAACTGTCCGAGACTCTTTTAAAAAGGATAAAATTCCTATTCCTCCTGTTAATTGTGTTAGCTGGCAGGGTATGACTCAGCAACCAACATAGGAAAGCACTTAAAAACTAGTAAGGGACAAGTTTATGTGGAGTATTAATAACATATACATATAAAATATGATCAATTGTTTTCCTCCTAGAATTATTTATATATACTTTTTAGCATTTACTTTAAAATAATGGGAAAGTCTGAAGGGTTTTTTTCTTTATTGTGCTGGAAATAGTACTGTAAAAAAAGGGTAGGGACTAGCTTATAAAGCCAACCATCATTCAAGTGTTGTTTGTTGCTTTATGAGAACAGAAAACTGTTACCTGTTTCTTTAACTCTTGAATATTATTAAAATGTTTCTTTTCTAATGTTAAGGTCCAGTCTAAAAACTGAAATTGGTGGGGGAAGAAACAGTGTGCTTGAGGCAAAACCCACATTTATTGTAATGAGAATTTTTAAAAATGCAACAGCTATAATTACTTGTTAAGCCCACAAAGACTCTAATCAGGCAATGAAGTTGTTCTCCCTCCCTTATCTGTCTCCATCCTGTATGTATATATGTAAGAGGGTAGAACTCAAGCTTCTCTTAAGTCTGCTAAAATATTACTCTTAAAGAATAATTTTAAGAACAAAAATCATACATCATTTTAGAGAGGAAACAGGCTTCCTTGTTTTCTCCAGCAGAGGTCTCCCCTATTTGACCACATGAAAACTTTTGGCTTTAATGATTTATAACTGGAATGTGGCAGTCTGCCTACAAGTAACTCTTATTCTTAAGACCTTAAAAAGTCCAAGAACTGTTCTACTTTATGTACACCTTTCTGACTTATATTGCCCTAAATGGCATTTCAAAATTTTATGAGTACAGAGGTTTTGGTCATAGTAAACCAAATTTCTACAAATATATTTTTCACTAATTGATAATCTCAAAAATCATTAGAGCTGTTCATACACAAATACAAAAAAATCAATTCCTTCTCATAAAGCTGTGTTATATTCTACTTTAGGAAGCAATAAAAAAATTAAAATTCTATCTCAATGTGCTTATACCAATAATGTACGATGGCATCTACATTTATCATTTGACTGCTGGCTTACTAAATAAGTAAAATTATTAAATAAAAATAATAGTGACTGATTAGTATCTTTTCCTCTTTCACTTTACTACTGTTTAAAAGCACATAGCAAATTACCTCCTTGCATGGAAACTGAATGCAAGCCTTCAGCATGCACCTGTCAGAAACAATAACTATTTTGGGGTGGAGGGGGAAGTGAGGATGGGGTCTGTGTTATGGAGCAAAGGCCATAAGCACCTAAAACTAGGTGACACACACTTGCTTCCACATCACCACTTAACCTGTAGCAATGAAAGCACTGTCAAGTCAGTTACAGGTGACTTAAAGGTAAGTAATGTGCATGGGAGCTACCCTAAGACGTTTTATTAAGCATCTGCAAACATCTTTGTGAGGTTCATTCTATCTTCAGCTGCTCTGAGCCCCCATTTGATCAGCCTGATGCAACAGAGCTTCTGCAATTCTTCCCAAAATGCAGCTCATGAAGCCCACCTGGCATTTGAGCTGTCCCCAGATTCTTCTCTTCCAGTTTCTCTAAGTAGAGCCTTTTATAGCCATGTGGTGCTGGAGAAGGGAGCATATTTGTTTATCCTGTTCTCTCTGGGGCTTCTGGGGTACTGGCAGTTCCTCAGCAGTTCACACTGTCTTGTGTGATCTGAGCAGTGGTTCGGTGTAAAACAAGGAACAAGTAATCAGAGCACTTCCAGCTAACACAAATGTTGGAAGGAGAGTGACTGAAGGCAATGCAGAAATAAAATCCTTTATTCCTGTAGCAGCAGGATTTATTCCCATTACACTAACTCACATCCTAGGAACAAATCCTGAAGACGAGACTTTTGCTGTTTGTTAAACACTTAACAAAACTCTCCCTCAAGAGCTGTTTTACTGTGGCTCTCTTCAGGTTTTACATACACAAGGCAGGTGGCAAAGCACTCAGCAAACTTGAAAAATGTTTACATACTCTTTTAAACAAGTTATTTCTGGTAGTTCTGGCGGAAAGCATTCAAATCCTTTCCATACAGGCAGTTGCAATTTTCACTGCTTCCAGTTTATTTTCAGAGCAGATATGGATGCACATGTGAGAGGAAGATCGCCAGTGACCATGGAGTAGACTACTTTTGAATGGATCAAAAGAAAATCTTCATATGCAGAGCTGTCAATTTAAAACTTACTCCAAACATGAGAACAATGCTTTGGTGCATTTCTGTACCTACAGAACTTGGTGCAAATATTTAAACAACAAAACACATGTATATTACTACCAGATATATTCAACAGCACTCCTGCTTTACAGACTATGGAATTTATTTGGAAAAGACTAATTTTATTTTAAAGATGTTTGAATGTCACTTTAAGTACTGAGAATTTTTTAATTAGTCTTCTCAACGATGAGTTGAAGAAACTTATCACTTAATAAAAGTCTACCACCTCCTATATTCAGTGCAAGATTTTTAATTTTAGCCAATTTGACCACGAATTTACTTGCAAGGTATCCAAGTAAAAATTTACCTTAAAATATATTCATAATGAAAACTAACAATTACGATGTTGTTAAACTGGGAACACTTTTCTTGATAGAAGAGGCTTTTCTACAGCAAAGTGCAAAATGCTCTGTCAGCAGCATAGTAAGGTTGTGTACTCAAAGTGGAAAAACAAAACACTGAAAACCAGAACAATAAACCTCAGTTTTTCTTTATACTGTGGAATATTTTTGTTGTTTCTGACAGACTCAATAATATGCCCAGTGTATTTTAAAAAGTATTAGAGTAGGTGATTTTGTTTTCACATTTGCATGTTGTTTGGCATTGGTGGATGGTAGCCCACAAAATACCAAGTTACCAGAAGTCCCAAGTGTACAAACACTTTTGCCCTTCTCCCCCATCTTTGTTCTCCAAAACTCAAAACAAACCGAGCTATAAAGTGTACAACAAATGTGGAATTCTGCGATTCAGCCTTATATATTCATTTAGCCTACAGTTTCACAGCTATGAAATCAAACACACACAGTATGTGAGAAAGTTTTATCATTTTAGAATCAAAATATCCCTTAAAATATTTACATTTTACAGTAAAAAGGATAGCAAAACACAAAGTAATGTACAAGCTTAGGTATTCAAGTTTTTGAAGCATGGATAATGGTGGGAGAAATGAATTTACTACTACAAATAATTTTCAAGAATTTAGGTTAGAAATGCTTTCTTATTAAAACAAGTGCAGTTTAAAGAAGTAACATTCGAGCAGCTCAGCCTTCCAATTTCTGGTCACAAACTGCTTCATATGCTTAGGAAAACCTTGAAATATAATATAACGAAATATACTTGAGTTTTTATTGTACTACTGAATAATTTAAAAAAAACCCCAAACTCTTCACACCACCAAGCATATTACATTTTGTTTAACATGTGGATTCTGAGGCTTTGCTGCAGTCTTTAAAAACAGTGCAATTTAAAAACAAGGGTATTGTATGAAAACAACCTTGAAAATTATCAGGGCATCTTAAAACAGAAGAGAGCACAAATTACCAAAGGCAGTAACTATATTGCAGACTTGACTAAAGCCAACTTCCTCAGCTAAGAATATTCCTAAGCCTTTATTGCATATTAATAAAAAGAAACCTTTAAAATTTTGAATATACAGCAATGTAAAATTTTTAAAATATTAAACTCCTACTTCTAGCGACAGTTGGTATAATGAAAAGAAGGATGAGTATTGGTACATTGAGTGGTACCAAAACACAGACTTGTTTCTGCAAAACACCAACACAGAATAAAAAACGATGGCACAATCCTAGCAGGCTCTCTTCTTTTTTTTTGTCATACAAACTTTTACAACATTACTCTAACAGTTTATTTAAATAGGATTTTAAAAGACTGCCTGCATCTTTTTACCTTTTGCTTTTAGTTCTGTCACTGTGGTCCCTATGTCTCTCTCTGTTCTTTTCACTTTCTCGTTCTCTATGCTTGTCTTTGCTTTTCTCCCTCTCCTTATCTTTTTCATGAGCCTGTTCATCACTTTTAGGCTTCTCTGTCTTTTTTTCTGGATTTCTAGTCTCTCTGGGGCTTTTTCCATCAGCAGCTCTATCACTGTGTGGGGATCGCACTCTTTCTTTGTCTCTCTGTCCTTCCTCTCTACTCTTCCGCTCTCTCTCTTTTTCCTGGTTTCTGTCTCTGCGCCTGTTTCTTTCAGAATCTTGCTCCCAGTATTTTTCGTTGCTCCACTCTTTTTCATGTCTGTCTTTTTTTTGGTGATGGGTTTCACTGTAAAGTCTTTGTCGATCATTTTTTCCTCTAGTGAATCCTCTCTCCAAATGCTGTTCGTCTCTACCCCAAGGATCGCTGTGGCGCCTTTCTGGTCTCCTACTGTCTTTATTCTGAAAAAAATTTTCTGGTCCCAAAAACCTTGATTGTTTGTGAGCCACTGGTAGCCCTTGTGCAATGGGTCCGGCATACTGTGGTGGCTGACCTGATAAATGAGCTACTGGTGGCCATGGCATCATCGGATTTTGAGGAAAACCAAAGCCAGGAGGAGGAAGAAGTGGAGGTGGTAAATGAGGAGGAAATCCAAACATAGGGTTGTTTTGTGGAGGGAAGTTATGAGGTGCAGGAGCCTGAAACTGAAATCCAGGTGGATTAGATTTAGAATGCTGAAAATTCTGCTGTGGAGGTCCAACAGATGGGAAGCTGCCACTTGCAATAGGGCTTGGGACTTTGGAAATAAATTCAGAACGAGAAGAGTTTTCAGTTTCAAAATGAGATGAAGTTACGGCTGGTCCCCTTCTAAATGAGTTCACTGTTTCAATGTTTTGCATCAATCCATCTTCCTGCGAGTGTTTGGTATCTTCTGCTTGTGATGCAACTGCGTTATCAGCCTTAGCCCCAGCTGAACTGAACTGTGTCTCAGTGGTTTGTGCCTCACTTTGATACAGGTTTAAGGCCCCTTCTCCAGAAAGTTGTTTATTCTCTGGTTCTCCTTGATCATTTCCTGAAGCATTTTGTCGGTCTTCATTTCTGCTAATATCTCCATCCTTGTTTTCTGAAATATTAGTCTGCTGGCTTCGTCCAGCTGCCTGTCGTGGGTCTCTTTTAAGATTAATAAATGGTGGTGATTTAGAGGTATTAGGAGTAGTACCCTCAGCAGAGCCTACATTAACATTGTTCTCACTGGGCTTTTTTCCTGAATTTGATGAGGAAGAAAAGCTGGAATTTGTGCTCCTTCTAACTTCCTGTGCAACACTATCCTTGTCCGGTATCTGTCGCTTTGGGTCATTTTCTTTACTTTCTTCAGTTTCCTTATTCTGTGCCTGAGCAGACAAATTTGCTAAAAATGCTTCTGTGGAAACATCTGGAGGTTTTCCCTTAAGACTCAGCCCTATCAAAGAACCAGCACTTCTTGCAGAACTTGAGGTCCCTACAGCTGCTGCATCTGCAGTTGCACCAGCACTAGTGGATTCTTGAGGATCATCCAAACCAGTCTTTGCTTCACCAACTTCAGCAGTTACCTCAGCAACATCCATGGTTTCTTCTTTCAAGGTTGCCTGTTCATTTAATAATGGTATGTCTTCACTAGGACCTGCTTCTGACTTGCTGTGCTCATATGCCTGCCCTGTCGTACCCAACAAGCTTTGAAGAATATCATCCACTGGCAATGGTTTATTTGCTAGCTCCAGAGTAGAAGGCTGATTTTCCCATCCAACCAGGACTCCAGGAAGAAATCTGAGAGGCTTTGGTGGTTCATGTTTGGTACTTTCCACCAATGGTTCAATAACTGCTGGAGCATCATCTGCATTAGACTGCTGTGGTTTATTTCTCTGCTTGTGTAGCACAGTTGTGAAGGAATTAAAAAAATTATTTTCCTCTTCTTCTTCTAGTGCCAAATCATGATGTGAGACTTCAGGTTTGTTTGGCTTGCTTTTCTTCTCTGGTGGCAAGCTACTCAAGGTACTTTCAGCAGCTTCATCTGCAAAACTACTGGTAACACTTGAAACAGCAGTAATCTGCCTCTTCATCTTCTGGCGAATTATCAATCCCAGTAATAAATTTGGTCGATGTATTTCAATCCCTGTACAAAAGTGCAACAGCAATTTATCATCTCTTTGTACTTTGGTTAAGGCAATAATTTTAACAAAAATAACCCTCACATACTTAAATATACTATGAAAAGTATTAATCTTATGGCATTTGAAATTGTTCTGCTTGTCATGTTAAACATTAACAACACTTAAAAAAAAAAAAAAGTATTTCCAGTATTAAACGTATGACTTCAAACACTGCAACTTAAGATTGTTTCAAGTAGACTATAACTTCCAAACAGAGAATATGAGATAGATAGGACATCTAATCTCACCAGAAACAGCACAGAAGTTAAACATCAAGTTAGTCCAACCCATCTACAACATGGTAACAGTGGTAGCAAAGCATAATAGGGGGAAAAAAAAGTAAACAGAGCACTTGCAAACAATAAGTCTCCTCATCAATTAGTGTTAGACATACTTCTTCAAAGATTTACCAAGAGCAAATTTCAGAAATGTTTCCCTCATTCCAGGAAAGGTGCTGTGTTTCAAGGCATACTATTACCCACCTCTTCACCATCTATTTTGTTCTATTTAATGGTAGAAAAATGAGTTGTAGCTCATTCTCTCTTCATTTTGGCCCTGCCTATCTCAAAAAGAAAGATCATCCACAAATCTTTATAACCAAGCTAAACTGATGTAAAGTAACTCAGGTGTACACAGATCAATTGAGCGCCATTTCAGGACTTGCCCATCTATGTTTTAAACTTTCAATGTATTTTTTTTTGCAAAGAACTTTGGAATACTTGAGAAAAAAGATAAAAACAATCCAAATAATGAAAAACACTACTTTAAATTGAGAATATCAATTTGGAACTTATGCCTTCAACCATAGTCTACTTGTGTGACTCAGTTTACTGACACTGAAACCTACAAAGCCTCCCGTGTTAGAATAAAGAAAGAAGATAGCAGACATAAAAAAAAGGTTGTAAACACTAGTTTTTTCATCTTTGTGTATCACAATGATCTAGCAAGAGGAAATTAGAGTCTTTTCAAGGAAACTAATATAATAATACTATGGAAAACTCATTACATATTTGAATAAATCAGCATTTTTTAATTTTATTTCCTCCTATATTTCTGTTGCCAACTTCTTTAAGTAGCGTTATGATAATAAAATTCCAAATTCCAAGCTGTACTTACCAGGCCCATCAAAAGGCACAAGGTGATGAGGGACTTTATCTGAGGAACCTAAAGGGATGAGGTACAAATCTTTCACTTGCTTCATATTATTGGCCGCTACACCGTAACGTTTTCTACTGCTGAAATAGGCAAACAACAGTGCATAGGAGATCTGATCTTCTTCAGTTACTGGGGTAAAGCGAACCACGCAGATCTCCTGTTTATAAAATGAGAGGGAAAAAGATGGTCAAGAATAATTTTCTGTGAAACATTATTTTTTTTACTGACTGCTCTTTATTTAAAAGAGCAGTGCTGAGGAGTAAAACCCACGCCAAAATGGCAGAGAATAGAAGAGACAGAAGGAGCAGAAACATGGCCAAAAATAATTCAGAACTAGATAAAACAAGTAGAAAGCATTTAGTATGAAAAAATTAATTGAAGTACATGACAAAAGAGCCAATATTTTTAACAGCCAGCTAAATAACAAGTTTCTGGGAAGCTTGCCAGCTTCCAATGAATTATTCCATTCTCTACCCTTAACATTACTAGAAAGCTGTGTTTTGTAGTCTGTTGTGTCCAAGACATCCATTAATAATAGTGGAAGACCAGTATTCAGATCCCAGAATTATGCCCAAAGCCCAGCTCAGGAGCTGATGTTCTTTGAACAGCCTGGAAGATTAGACAAAACAGTCTCTGCAAAACTGAGATGGCAACTAAGCAGGCTGAAATAAAAGACTGAACTTTGTCAATGTCAGCAAAGACAAAATGCAAAATCTTGCACTTTGAGCTGGAGTAACCCCATGCACCAGGACTGGCTGGGGGATTGACTGGTTGGAAAACAGCTTGGCATAAAATGATGTGGGGATCCTGGTGAACAAGCCCAGTATGAACTGGTGATGCATCCATGCCAAGAAGGCCTACTGCAATCTGGGTGTCAGAACAGCTATTTCTTTCTATCCAGCACTTGTGAGACACCACCTGGAAAGGACTTTCAAGTTTTGGGCTCCCCAGCACAAGGACAACTGGCACACAGTGGGACAAGTCCGTCAAAGAGCCACTGAGATGGTTTTGCACAATGTAACACTACCCTATGAAAGGGTAACACTTGAGAGGTAAAGTGGTATCCAAACATTCCTGATGAGTTACTGTGTCAAACAAAGACAGGTATTCTCAAACAGCAGGTGACAGTTTAAGGTTAGGTAGGAAGAATATAAATGCCAGCAGCTGCTACCCATGCCATTCAACATAACCACGAGATATTCCTAAAGTTCACATATTTTGCAAATGTTTCAGAGAGAAAAAACCCAAGTATCTTTAGGATGACTAAGATGAATATTGAACAGCAACTCTTTACTACGTAAAATTCTTACCTTGGTCCCTGAAGCTTTTATTTTTTCTACATAATCCCAGACAGTGTGGGGAGATATCCTCCCACCCACTTGAATACTATCAGGTAAATCCTATGAGAAAGGACAAGAGAAATGTGAATCCAAATAAATCTTGTGGTATGTCCTTCATCCAGTATCTGTTTCATAAAAATTCAAAACATACTTAGTTCTTTTATTTCTTAAACTGTAATTTAAAAATATCAGTAGAAGTTACAACAGAAAAAAAAATTAAATTTTGGACATTTTAGATTTTCAATACAAAGTTAATGATACATAATAAATTAGTTATCATTCAATACTGTTCATCTATACCTTGCCAAAATTATCCTTTCTGGTAACATTAACTGCAAACACAACTGTACTGTGCTCTGGGAACACTCAAGCTATTCATCACACCACACCACAATGAGAGCTCCACACCGATGTTTATAATAAACTTTCAAAATTGTCATCATGAGGCAAAAATGTAACCATGTGCAAGTATACAAAGATATAAATTCTTGGATACTACTGAGTTCACTGTTCCTAAGCAAAATAAACAGACTTTCAGAAAAATAATTTTTTTTAAATAAAGTCAAAGGGTTTTGAAAAGCATATCATATTCATATAACTATCCTTTAGTATTAAGGATTACTGCATGGCCTGCACTTCCCTGAAGATCTACAGCAAAGTAAAGACAATCTTATTAACAGAAGACCTAAGTTATTTTAGTTAGAAAGCTGATGCATCCTCTGTAGCTGTCAAGAAGCAAAATTGTGCCTTCTAAGCTCTCTGATCTTTATTTTGTGACATGAAGACAACTACCATAAGCAGTTACATGCTTTTCCACTCTCTCAGACACAGAAGAGAATGTTACATAAACCTTTTCTTTCAGGGACAATTGAGTCACACAATGCAAGGTTAGGACCAGAATTGCCAACACATGGGCAAAAAATCCCCCTCCGTTACACAGATTACTGTTATAGATGGGAATATGAACCAGAGGTTCATGTAATGAATAATGCTTGACTTACAAATATAGACTTAATCTATGTCCTCCCACAAATACTTCATTCACTACAATGATCATGCCTCACTGTCTTCCATCATTATACTAATATCAGCCTACAAGGTAAATAAGTTGGTAAAATTAATAAATTAATTCTTTTCAATAAATATAAATACCTCTGTTAAATACTCAAAGGAGCCAGAAACTGGATAAGCCTTAATAACAAATTTTGCTACTGAAGGCATATTGATAAAGCCCTTCCAGATGAAATTCAGGCGTGCCAAAAACAAACTTTCACATTCCACAGTACCAGGAGTTTCTGACCTAAAAAAAGGACAAACAAAAAGGCCACTCAGTTTACAGCATGATATATCAGTGTAAATCCTAATTTTTCTTTATCATAGAAATGTAGTATTATCAAGAATTTTCTTTTTCAGTTAAGCATAGTGAAGCGTCAACAAAAAAAGACAGGCAGACAACCACATTTCTTATCTTCCAGCAGAGTAGCTCTATGGTACAGGAATAGTCAGACGAGCAGCACATTAGTTCCGTAGTCAGTATTTTTTAAAAACAGAGATGTTGCTTAGTCTGAGAACTATCAAATGCTATACTCAAGAGGACACAAATGCATACAGGTACTGCAGAGCCAGAGAGATGTTCCCCTGCCACAAGTAAAAGATGAAAACACACTGCCTGCTGGCCTACACTGCTTTCCTAATTCCTACATTTTGTGCCACCACTGTCTGTCCACCAGCTAAATGCCTGTGTCACCCTACTCTCTCCTTGAACCATGAGCTGGCTCCTCATGTCTTCTCATCTATGCATCACTTCCACAACCTCTGTGAGTCCCTCTTCCTAATTCCACATGTAAAAAACTGGTTTTCCTGCCTTTGAAAAAAAGCCTTAGTTTTGTCAACAAAGCAGCTGAAGAAATTAATGGGATGACTTAAATAATTTCACAGGAGAATGTTTCTCAACCTGAGAGTTTCCCTATGATAAAGACTACACATTTCAACATGCTGCTATCAAAATATTCTAGGCGTGCTATTAGCAGTTTTAAGCTGCCCAGTAGTACCAGATGTTGTAACACTGTGACCTATGTTTATTTCTGTCTACACTGGAAATTACCTTGAACTTGCTGTAAGCTATTAAAAAACCAAAGTTCATTATCCTTGGTAAAAGATCACACTGTCCTGATAAAGACAAAATTTCAGCATGAACTCTGGTCAATTCTAAACAATTGGGAGTGGACGTTTTTCTCGAAAAGCCTCTCTCACACCAGAAAGAAACAGCCTCATAAACAGCAATTTCATTTTTAGCGAGTAGCTGAGTGGAAGAAAATGAAGAGAGAGCTGACAGCAAATACAGCAAAAGATCAAACAAGCTGCTGTTATGCTGTTACCTGCCATTTCTAGAAAAGCACTACTTTGGAATTTGAAACTAGCCTGATTTATCAGTGTAAATGCTCTGTTTAGAGCAGTATCAAATTCCCTGAATTTATATATACGCACATACAAAGACACGCTTATTTAAATGCAGCACTATATATACTATGTGCCTTAACAGCAAAAGACAATATGAAATTTAGATACTGATTTTTTGTAATATGAACTGTTTTTAAACCTTGCTGCACCAGAAAATACTGGCTTTTCGGGAAAAGTAAACTATGTGGTAATTAGAAGTTTGCAATCACAACAATATATGTAGTGTTATGTATATAAATGAACAGTGTTTACTTCAGCAGAGAACTCCATTCTAAAAAGGTGTACAACTTCAAGTACCCAAATGGATTAATGGAACGTGATTAAAAACGTAGCTTTAGACATAATAGCTAAACAAGATTAATAATGTCTTTCATTTAAAAAAACTGTTTCTACAGCTTATATTACTTTGGGAGAGGTGTGAATGACTTTGATGAGTCTTGCTTATCATCTTCCAGTAATTCTGAAGCTAAAATACTTGATGTGGAGGAGAGTGCATCTGCAATGCTCTCTGCTTCATTGTCAGACTGCTTCCGTGCAACCCCAACAGACACCTTCACCTTCTTCCCTGACAGATCATCAGTAGGTGGTGCCATTCGGCCTGCAGAAAGGAAGCAAAACAGGTTTCATTTTTTATTAAAGAAACAAAAAGAGGACTTCCTCTGAACTTCCTCTGAACACAGAAAAGACACACCAAAAATACTACATATTGCCACTGAAGTGGGATAGGATACATATTTTACACATGTTTATACCCTGTATAAATTATTACATTGTTTATGTTTATACAGTACTAAACACAATTTTGCCACTGTGATGGCATAGAATAAAGAAATGAGGAATCAACGGTAGTATGTACATCCACCATAGGGATTGCACTCTCTGAAGCTGTTTTTTTAAAGACAAGTTTATGCCAACAGACTATCCTTTTAATAGTCTCTTTTGTAAATTATGAAGTAAAACATTCCTTCCACAACTTCATCAGCAAGCTAAGTAAAAACCCACATTTATTTAAATTCTTGAGGTATATTGAGATTTATGACTGAAAATTATAGAAGTACCATCTATTTATTTTCATGTGCTTTCCCAAATTACCTATGCAGATTTTGCAGTTTAGATCGAAGAGATGATTTTTATGTTGACTTGTGGTGTCCGGAGATGCAGATTCATTTATTTCTTTATCCTTTTCAGCTTCTTCTGACTTCTCAAACAATTTCGTATTAGGTTCCTAAGAAAGTCAAACACATTTCAGTTAGGATTTTTTAATCCCTCTGTTAATATTCCTAACATTGTTTATTATTTTATAGTGTTTTCCTCCCTTCAGACATAAAGCTCTTCCTTCAGCTACACAGCCTAAAATTCTATCAAAAAGTCTTCAAATTAATTAAAATAACTATTTGGTATTCTCAAATATATTCAGATACCATTCAGAATATTTTCTAATTTCTGCTACTACCAGAATTCATCATACAGACACAGACACAACATAGAAGGAAAGAAACCAACAAAATCACCAGGCCAAGAAGTCAGTTAAGATAAAATAAAAAGTATCAGATAATTATAAACTTGAACAACAGAATCATAAACAAAACACCTCACAACCATATTGCCTATGTACTAAACACACTGTAATGCCATGCTTTCTTTTCTACCTGAATTTCCATTACTTCCTCTTGTTCTTTCATTGGTGTCTCACTTTCAATTTCTATTTCTCCTTTGTGAGTAATTTTTGTGATAGGTCTTCTTTCAACCTCCCTCTGCTCTTTCTCAATCATTTCAATTGTCTGTGAAAACAAGTAGCTATGTGTAATTATTCCCATGCAGTAAAATTTGAAAATTCAGAAATATAAGAGAGAACAGTACTGCAATTCAGAAACCCTCTAGGAAGAAAAGTAATACATTCTTATTTTGCAATTGTCAAGTAGTTTCATAAAGCAAACATGGAAGCAGCCTGTCTAACTTCTCCTACAGCATAGCAGCAAGTACTTACCAGGCATACATTTAAATAAGTTATAAAGCAAACCTTCAACACTGAATTAAAATACCAGTAATTCTGATTTCCCAAGAGCTAAAGAAAAAAGATACATCGATTATTTTCCTGTAACAGGATATAAATATGTACAAATTTGTATTATTTTTCAACATTTTGGTTTTTAGTACATAAACCTAATGCTTCACCTCAAGAAAAAACTTAAAGATAGTTTTAAAAGTAATGGAGATACTAATTCCGATAGCACTGCTGCTTTGCTTTCTTGCAATAAAATAAAATATAAACCATTATTTCTAATATTGCCTCTTAAAGTACATTTCCATTTCTTACACCAGGAAGGGGTTGTGTTGGCTGTGCCAAATATCTCAAGCCTAATTTACTAAGGAAACAAGAATTCTATGATTGCTTTATCTGTCTGAAAAATATCAACATACTTTTGAACATCCTGGGGAAATAAAAAAAAAATTATTAAGTAGCAGTCTCAATGCCTTGCTTAAATATTAACATGAAAAATACAGTCAAGTGATCGCTATTTGTTCTACATGTTTCTAGAAATTTTGAAGCATTTCTCTGAAATAATTAGGAGCCTTCAGCAATTTTCTGAGCAGCATACATTTTTTGGGAAGATATTTCTCATAGCAATGAAATTTTATTTTGCATGGTCTCTTTTCAGAATTTCACTGATGTTTATAAAAATAAAAGTAAAAAAGTTCCACTACAAAAGATAGGCTTTGGATAGATACAGAATAAACAAACTTTTCATTCTTTCTAGGCCTTTGAAACAAGATAATCAACAAGTGTTTTTCCACAGAAAGTAGCAAAAAGTTATAATTCATAAACAGGTCTAGCCACAATGTGCAATGACAAGGACAAAACGCAGGAATAACTACTATTGCAAAGCACACTGCAGTTTCTAAAACAGCATCCCACTCTACTATTAGTTACACCAAACATTTATTCTGAGCACACAGATGAATTTACAATACCCAAACATCATGCTTTTAGGTTTTATAATGTGGACTATAAATACCAAAGATCCTGTCAACATTAAATCCAGATTTTGTAAACTATAAAATTTTTAATGGCCATTTCTAAGCAGCTGCAATTATCGTCAGACTAAATGCCCAACAAATAAATGGAGCAATGTCTAACCAAAAGGAATTTTCTATCAAAATAATAGAGGTCCTCTTAGTAAACTTCCTACACTTTCTTGGGTTTCTTTTGCTGCCTGTTTTTTTTGTTCGTTGTCCCTTTAGGCTGCTTTTCCAACTGGCAGATCAGGTCTTCAGCTCTGGATTTACTTCTTGGGGACTGATTTTTAATGCTTCAGCAGTAAGTTAGAAACAACACCAGTTCACTCTGGTTTGGTTTGTCCAATATCTGTTTCTACTTTAAGAAACTGGTGTTTCTAAAGCTCCAGCAACAGCTTTAAAATCTTGTGGAAAATAAGGACAAAGAAACCTTCTTTGAGACAGAAAGAAGAAACAGCCAGCAGCAACAAAGTTGCAAGGCAAAGGAAAGTGCACAGTTTCCTCCCCTCAGGAACTGACTACAGTCCTTTCACTTCTGTCCTATCAACATCTTTGGGTTTTGAGTACTGAATTAATTACAGAGATCCTCCTGCTCGGTTGCAACATCCATTCTGCTCTTTCTGCATACGTTTAACCTGAAAACAGAAGTTACACATGCTTAGGCTGTCAAATAAGCAACGTAAATTGACAAATCTCACATGTCTGTTTTCTCTCTGTCTCCAAGCAGCCAGCTCTTTGGAAGCGAGTTCTTCTGGGCTCATTTTTATTAGATGATCCGGAGTAACCTCTCCTTTCAGTACTTTCTTAAATAGTATCTGGAAGAAAGAAGAAAAGTAACTGTTGCTATCAAGACAAAAATAGTTTGCAGCAGGAAATAAATTAGAGAAGTAACATGCAACACACTCTGTACAGCTAAATGGAGTGTGTGGGTTTGTAATTATCTCCAGGAAGAAGTACTAGACTTGATACATAAAAAGCTTAATTCCAGAGTTCTATTTATTCTACATAACAATGTATCTACATATACCCTTAATGATTAAATGTATAATTAACTGCTGCTTCAAAGGAGTAAGAGTTTATGCCCACTGCAGCAGTAACTCAATTCACTGTTTTTGTTTTTAAAGGTGCAAATCCTCTGCATTACACAACAAAGAGAAGAAGCCATCAAAGAACATATCTGTGCTTCTTGACTAAATGAAATCCTAGGGTACAAAAAAGGCAACCAACTACTTCAGCAGTATCAGCAAACAGTAGTTAACTGTAAGATAAAAGTTAAGATAGAGGTTCTCACAACTGGCTAACTGTAATGGCAAAATACTATAAACAAAGTAACTTGATCTGAATAACTGATACAGGACAAAAGGCAGAAGCTGAGGAGGTATGATGTTAAAATAATGGGCTCATAGAAAGCAGAACAGAGAGTGAAGACCAAGCTTGAGAAACCTGGGTGTCAAAAAGCAGAGTCAGGAGATCCTGGACAGAAAAACAGTAGGTGTAGTAAACAGCAAAGAATTATAGGAGAGACAGGAATATCTAAATAACGTATCAGCAGTAAAGAGAAACAAAAACTAGGCGAGCTATATCTACTACAGTTTGAAACCAAACAAAAAAACTGTATGCTGGGAGCAAGTAGTTGGAGAATTAATGATGGGGAAGAACACAGAGGACATTCAGTGCCCAAAGAACAAACAATATCAAAAAACTACGGACATCTAAAAAACCCAAACTGGTTAAACTGCAGGAGGATTGATAATGTTCCTAGACTGATGACTGTTCCTTTAATCTACAACAAATCAAGGATTTCTGCAAAGGACAACAGACTAATCACACATACATTATTTTTAGGATCTTTGAGATTGAACATTAAACTCCTGTATTTGTTCTTATACTTCGCATCAGTGTCTCGAAAAAAAGAAAATAGCTCTCTTTCAATCCTTGTGGCAACTTTTGCTGCTCTCTCTTCAGGAATCTTTAAACTGGAGTCTGTCAATCTGTAAGAGAATACAATGGAAAAAATTACAAAATGCATCCAAATAATTAACAGTTTTTCCTTTGCCTTCCAAAGGAAACTATTTATAAATACAAATTAATAATTTAATTTCTTAATATATCTTTACCTTTTCATAAGAATTTCCTTAAGAGATTGCTTAACGCTTTGTCTTATCTGATCAGCAGAAGGCTTGGAAGCTGGCACAGCTGGCAGGTGTGTTGCACTAATGGATCCCTTCTCATTTTTCTTTTTCTTAATTTCTTGTTTCTCATGCACACCTATCAAAACACAGTTAAAAATTGTAAAATACTCAAGTAGGTTTATTTAGAAACTTTTGCTACTGATGGAATTATTTTAATGAAATTTTATTTTTAAACTGCTAAGAATTGATCCTCAAGAAGGACTGGACCGCTAGGATGGATGGTTTGTGTTTGGTTGGGGTTTTTTTCTTCTTTGGTTTGGATTTTATGTTACTTAGATTAATCCAGAACAAAAACTTCCTTAGCAGAAACAGGGGGTTTGCCCTTTGATTTGCAGTATTTTCATTTACTCTAAATTAAGATGACCAGTGCTCATTAGCTTGATCTTAAGTATGGTTTTTGACTCTAAATTTTGTAACAGCATAGATTCATTTTTCAATGAATAAACTAAGAAATAATATAGTATGAAGCCCATATAGGCACAATAAGCCTTTAAAATACCATTTTACATTAAACTTAGCATTTCTGCATCTGTTAGTCATCAAAATTATTTCAATTATAATAATCTCATCTTCTGATTCAGGTAACACTCAAGGTCATTATAAGGTTTGTGTCATAAATAATTTAAATAATGGATAAGTTTAATCAAACTAAAATCATTAAAGAAAAAATCACTAATTTTCAGAGAGTCAACTGAAAGCTCATTTGTGTCAGCATGTGAAAATGTCACTAATTTTGAGCAGCACCCTTCAATTCAGGGAAGAAATGGGAACTAAGTAATATTATTTTTTTCAGTTTATAGTCAGAACAAAACCCAACAAATTGAAGACTGATAAAGATTTCTAGAATGCCTCAGCACTGGCAAAAGACCAGAATAGCTAAGTTATGTATTTTTAAACAAAAATTCAAAGCTTGAGTTTCAGAGTAAAAGACACAGTTCTCACACGAAATCTCACTAGCTTTGCTGCTGAGATTTCAATCCCAAATAACAACAACTTCACATTATAATGACCTTAGAAGAAAAATACTTCCTGGATGGCAGCTGGGGAGAGGACAAAGGTTGCTGGGAGGGTAAATATGTCCCTTCAACCTTTCAAATGAAGTTTATATGAAAATCTGATGACACAGCAAGTAAAATAATTCCTCTGAAATGAGTTGACAAAATTGTCAATTTGTTAATTATTATCAAAATACATCAGTAAGTCAAAATATAATTTATACAGCAATTAAACCAGTTTTATGTATCCAAAGCATTTCATAGTATTTTACGGAAGAGTATTTCAAAGTCTCATATAATGTAAAATAAAGTTTAATACAGAGATGTCTATGTACTTTTTCTCCCACTTTTGATCATGTGAGCATCCTCTACTATTGAAACAGGAAACACACATCTACCTAGGACACATCTACCTACTAAATAAAACTGAAAAAGAAATGAGAAATAAAGATCATAAATGTTATGGAAACAAACAGCTCTTCAGATCATCATCAGGTCCACTATGGAACACAATTTGAAAAACTGATGTTATAAAGAAAGGTATCATCCTTCACAGTACACAGATGTGAACTGCAGCCTGGAGGACATCCCCAAACCTTGGTACCTGATTTTGTGGACCTTTCCATTGTACTAAGGGATTCTTTAGTTATTTTTTCATTTTTATCTTCAGGGGACCGCCGAGGAGTTGCAGTAGTTTGTGATCCCTTCCGAGAAGGAACATGCTGCCCTTTTTTAGTATCTGAGTCTCTGGACTCTGGCAAATTCTTCCCATCCCCAGATTCCTGAAAGAAACATTTACACATGTTAGCATGCTACTGAATGCTACAATTAACCTCTACGTAATTACCACCTATTTTTCCCATTTTTTCCTTTTTACACTGTACCATGTATCCCCTGGATGTGTCACCATATTGTTTTCTAAAGAATTACTGAACAATATCCCAAATTACTGCCAAGCATTGCTTAACAATCTCTTTTAAATATTGGCTCAAGATACAGCACAGACAATTTGCATTTAAGCTCTGTGCTGACAACCATTAAGTTTGCAGTTATTTTAAAAGGTCAGGGATACTGATGAACATCCCTTAACCAGTTTTAGCTACATAGATCACTGATGTTTAGAAAGCATATGTAAATTAAAATTAAAAAGAACAGTTTACATTCCAGAATTTCAATACTACTACTCAGAAATAACACAGGCTTACTGATGATTATGTTATCATGAATATGACATTATATACTAACAAACTGAAGCATTGTCTCAATAGTCTTTGTAAATTATCCTTTGGTTAGTAAAATTAGACGTAAAAAGTAGAAAAACCCCAATCAAAGCACTAGCCATTCCTTTCTATATACCATCTGAAATAAAAGCAATCAAAACTAAAATACTGTTGTATTGTTTCCTACTGTTTATCTGAAACTTATAACACAGCAAATTGACAGATGTCCTATAATATGTTTAGGAATCTGAAAGAAATATGCATTAGGTTCTTCACCATTTCTTTGTACACCTGTATATAAACCTATATATAGGTTTATATACACATACAGCAGTAGGCCTTCAATGATATTTATGTGTCACTTCCAACTCAGGATGTTCTATACGCATATGATGTGAACATATCCCTGCTCAATATAAGAAGAGTTTAGCAATACCCTCTTGAAAGAGTCAAGCTACTTAAAAAGTAACTTTGGAAATAATTTAGATTCACAAAGATTTCTGAAACATGGTCTATTAACTGGCAATGGCACAGACAGAAACCTTACAACCTCAGTAATTAAGAGAACTTCAAACATTAAATAAGACTCACCCGTCTGAAGATTTTGACTTTGTGCTTCCCAGTGTCCTCTGTTGGCTTTGTTTTTTCAGTCGTTGTATTTAGATTACAAATAGGTGTTTGCTTTGACACCCCCACTTTTTCACACTCAATTACTTTTTCTTCTTTATGCTCAAGTTTCACTTGAGTATCTGGTACATTTTGATCAAAACATTCCATTTTTTTGTCTTCTTCAGCACAGCATTTCACACATACATACTCTTTATCTTCCTCACCCATCTGCTGTGCTTGAGAAAGGCTCAGTCCAACACAATCACCATGAAACCAATCATCACATCTACCACAACCTACCATAAACCTGAAAACAAAGTAAAATATAAGTCAGTGAAAACTGTGAAAGACTATGAAAGATACTGCACCTTCAGAAGGATATATCGTAACCATTTTGATTTGTGCATCTCAATTATTTGTTCTTACCCAATAAGTGATTTTCTTTGCTGCTTTACATCCATCTCCAGCCTTACAACATGGTATGATCTTCCCAAGAGGTATTATTTTTTAACTTTTTGCTTCTTACAGTAGTCCAAGAGACTATCAAACTTCACTGTGTTTGTGTAACTTGCTTCCAAATCCTACCACGCTTCTTTTCAGATTACTATAAAAGTTCTTATGAATGTTAAAAAACAAAACCAAAAATCCAGCAATTCTCAGAAACAGTAAATTTGATTGAAAATGTGGGGAAATTTTTCTTGCAAGATAATATCCTTGCTTGCCTACAAATATGATTGTCATCATTCATCACAAACCCATCAGCAGCTGCAATCTTCCACAGCAGTATGAGGTGTTTTGACAAACACAATGGGCATATCAACCTATTCTAAATTAGTTGGTTTTTTATATCTCATTCCTTAGACCATCACTACTAAATTATTTCTAGAAAGTTACTTTTAATTCGCTTTACTGCTGAAGATGGGGCCAGGAGTTTGGCTTCCAAAACCACCTGTCCAGCTTGCAGTGATTGTTTTCTTTTAAACATGGTACACACTTCTGCGCTACTCAGCCATTTTATTCAGAGCTAAGTTATTTAAAGAATGCTTCAAACACTAAAATGACTATCTTTTAAAGGACACTCTTCAATTCACAACTCACTTAACTGCATTATTTTAAAAGCAGAATCAATTTTAGATACAGACAGTACTTTCAAAGCATTGTGAAGATCACCTGGTCTAAAATAAAAGCATAATTTCTGACTGTTTTGAGGAAGCATTTTGAAAACTTCCTCAGGTATGACGGACACCTAATCGCACTGATAGGTACAGTTTCCAGTTCAAGTATTTGGGAATGATGTGGAATTTCAAAGTTTCTCAGGCTAAAAACCAACTAGTCTCTTCAGGAGACTTAGGTGGTAGGAATTATTTTTTAAAAATAATGAACCCAGCACCAAGGAACAGCTTTCAAAGGATGTAGGAAGATCTCTTGCGATATCCATTTACATTCTCTTTCCCCTTTCATGTTTTTGATGGGGGAGGGAGCAGGGGGGATTGCTCATTGGTTTTTTGTGTGTTTTCATTTGTTTGTTGGGGGGTTTTTTGGTTTAATTTTTATTTCTTCTTTTCATTTTGTTTTATACTTACATAAACTATATTCAAGATATGTACCTTAACATATAGTCCAGATGAAGAAAATCCAAAAAGAATGTAAGTATTAAACATAGTACGAGTTCTTTGGTAACACTAAAAAATTATTTACTGAATTCCTACGTTTTGAATTTCATAGAAGACAGACCTGACTTAGAAAAAGTAATTCATGACAACTTGGTTGTTTCAGCAATATATTTAAGAGCTAAACACGCTGACCTGCAAACCCTATTTCTTTAACCTAATATCTTATAGATCCCTTCCATAAGGTGATTCTAAGCAAAATGATACCTAACTTAGGTATGCCCCCACTCAGGCTAGGATCTGCTATCTGCTGACTTACCTACTTGGTAGAACCATATAAACATTACAGGATGTGCTTAGAGCAATTCTCATTCTCCAGAACTGTAAATGAATGTTCCAGGTGGCTTGATGCAGGTATTGTATTCAAACTACTGTTACCTCAGAGATGAAAGCTCTTATTAACAGCAAACATTTGAAACAAAAGAAAAACACATGTCATTATGTTCTGTCCCTCCCTACTCAAAATATGTCAGGATTAGATTCTGCTGAAGAAAATATTATTTTGATGCAAAATGAGTCTGAGAAGTTTTAGAGGTCCATTAGATTGAGAAAAAGCCTATGATGATGTTTGCTAGATTTGAAGAAACTGGTTTTTAAACTCATTTGGGAAAAGTATTTTCTTATTTTGAATTTTTTTTTTGAGCTGCAAGTACATTAATAGTATTACTTGTCACTAGCAACCAGCATCTGCCCATCTACTTCATAATTTTAATTAGAAAGGCAGAGGTTCCTTCATGTTTTGTCAGTATCTCAATCTTTTCAGATTCATATTCCAGCAAATTGCAAAAACAAGATAGGTAATGTTAGGGCACAATTACTTCTGATGGTCTCAGCAGAGTAATACCACACCATTTATAAACACAACAGAAAAACAAGAAAGAAGTGACAGGACTGCAACACAAAGCTCACTGCTCCTTTCTGAGTGCTTGGAGCCAAACATGCATGGGCAGAAAATATAAGGTGAGTGCCTATTTCATAACTGCAAGGGTCCACAGTGGGTGCTTTACACAGAACACATCTTGTACCACTGCAATAAAATACTAGTAAAGCTTTGGGAACAATGAAACTGGTTACAAAAATTCCCCACGTGAGACTTTCTGCAAAAGCTGCAATAAAGTCAAACCACACAGCCAAAGTATCATGCTTAAAGGGTGTTCTGGTGTCTTAAGGAATTAATGCCTGTGGTTCAAAAAAAAAAAGGAAAACAAGAATACACCATCATGACACCACACTGCTATTAATTGAATTTTTATTAAAATATATGTATTTTTTTTCCTCAGTTTGTAAATTCATGCACTGGAGACTAACTTGCTATATGAGGAAGACAGATTGTAGCATTCACTAACCAAAACAAACTTTTGATTCGTATTTAGAAAATGGATATTTGCTGAAGAGATTAAACTAAAATACACAAGATGCTGCACACCTTCAACTTTAAACTGACAGCACATGGGATTTTTCAGCTTAGCTCACACATATTAAGGTGGGTAATAGAGATGGTGTGTAAGTAAGGCACCAGGATAGGTATCCAGTATTAAATCTTTATTTTCAGGTCTATGAAATAAATAATAAAAATTTTAAGTCAAAAAACCCTACAATGAATTCAGCTCAGAAAAGATAATTTTTGCTAGGACTGCACACCGAGAGAGAGGTCATTCAAGCATACTACTGAAGATGGAAGATTCATTTGACTTCATTCCAGTCTTCACAACAAGGTTTCAGTTACACTGTATTTTAACACACACAACAAAACTTCAAAATTCAGGATTCAGAAACCAAGACTACAAAAAGAATCAGGAAATATCAACGCCTGTTCAATGCAACACAATGTATTGTTTACAATTGTTTTGCTTAAACCTAGTTATACAAAATGGTAATAAAAATACTGGTGTTGCCTGCCTAAAAAAACGTCGCTATTTCTACTAATTGGGACTTTTTTTCCCACACTAGTTAAATGTAAGACTGCAACTTTTGAGGCTGGGAGAGAACATACTGATTTTGATATTGGTAATTTAGATAATCCCTTTAGACCATATGGCCACTTCTACATCTCTGCCTGTTTCGCTCATCTGCACACAAAATAACTATAATTTGTAGCAATTATGATTAGGTAATGGGCAATGTTCAAACTAAATAGAGGAGTCAAGAAAAACTGAAGCCTGGTTTGAAGGCTCAAGGATGTCCTTTTGCACAGTTGTTATTTTTGACTGAAGCAGTTCTGGTATCTTGGACTAGAGTAAAACATCAAAGTTTCTGACTGCAGATTGCTTCAAATCTGAAGTGCAGGACTTTTACCCATGTTGTAAGGCTGGATTGGAAGATGTAAAGCTGAAAGAGAAAGAAAAGTATATTTTAAAATATTAAATCATGTCACATTTAATGAAAGACTTGTTTTCATTGGACTTTAATATAAAAATATTTTTTGGAAGAAAAAATTTAAAAAAACCTGACAGGTGACAGCACACAATACTATAGCACATTGGGACTTCTGCATAGAGTATGCTAAAGTTTCATTCCTTTAAAGAATTCCCTTGGTAGTCCACATGTCAGCATAAAAAGAGACACCTTAAATCAGAAAGTAACAGATGAACCATAAAAAGAGACAGAATAATTAACACAAACCTGCCATGATCTCTCTTACGATTGAAATACCTCTTTTGGTGTGTTATTTGTAATAAATTAAACTCATTTGTTAGATGAAAAACTCAAGACAATTTATTTTCTAAATATATGGACCACGTTTTAAAATTACCCTCATATATTCAAGTTATGTAACAGCAGCAAGTTTCCAGAGAAAAGCATTACTGTAAAATGGGCAGAAACCACCTTACTCATAAAACAGCTTTTTATTGTAAAGCTATACTTGAGTAAAGCAAAATAAAAATCAGGACCTTCAAGAGTTATTCATCAGTGTGGGACAGTAATCAGCATTTTAAGATTAATTAATAATGCATTGCCACAGAAAATCGTAAAGTTTTGGAACAATTGCTTCTCTGTAATCCTTCATGTTTGTGGTACATAGCAATTGGGAAAAATACCACAACAGGACTCAAAACTTAACCCAAAAAACCTCAAAAAACCAAACCAAGCTGTTCAAAATAACACCCTAGTCACAAATTCACCTAACAGGAGTAAACCCACTGCTCACTTTTTAAAGACTTCAGTATTTAAAGCAAGTCTCCCATCTGCACTTCATCCCTTAATGGCACTGTTCACCAATCTTCTACAGATCTGTTGTAAACTTGCATTAATATTTCAACTGTTTCTCTGCTGCACTGATGCTACAGTCCAGCCAATGTTAAAGCAGGGACAAGATATTCATGGCATGGCAGATAGTCAGCTTTAGCAGAGTGTATGTTCCACATCAGTGAAGTAGCATGACTTGATACAAAGCTCAAATGAAATATGGTCTGTCAAAAAAAAAATCTGCACTGCACAGAGACATAAGCAGTTCCACTTGCTTCCCTTTTGACAAAGTCTAATACAAGTGACATGATTTTTCAAATTCTGATCTTCTAGAAAAAAACCACAAACCTATCTCAATCACTAGCAGCAGATCTCTTTACATGGAATTTGCATATGAAAAAGACACTGCAAACTTGCTGCCTAAGTACTAATTTTCAATAACCCACATTTTATGCCAGAAGTTTTTTTTTTCTTAAAGCATAATTTTCTTTGCTATTTAGATTACAGGAACCCCCTCCAAAAAGGAAGCGTCAGGAAGACAAACAACCCTATGCTTTTTGAATTACAGATGAATTAATGAAACATCCCAAACAGCAAAGCTAAAACCACTGAATTTTCCCAAAACCCTGAAAATAAGAGTATGTTTCCTAATATTAATTACAAACCTGCACTAAAAATTATGCATATATATACACACAAATATACATATTATATATAATCATTAAGGGAAGCTCCATTACCAGTGGATTCTACAGATGTTGCATGTTGCACGATAAGCATCATATGCTTTATAAACTGCATTTATAAGCACTTTGTATTTATGCTCATCTTTTATAAAACTATTTTAGACAACTTATGGTATCTATTCACTTGATTCCTTAATGCCGCTGGTATTAATAATAATCCTGCCAATACTGCAGCATAGTAACATAATCCATATAAAATCTACAAGTGCAATTACGTAACCGTAAATAAAAATCACAGTGGAGTCCTTTCCTTTGTTAATTATACATTACAAAGTTGTTTTGTTTACACTGTCATTCAGTTTTTCTACAGCTGTGGGTGGAAAAGCATGATAGCTTTTAATGTTGCAAGGCTTTTCACAGAAGAAGAAAGCAGTAGCAGAGGCAGGAAATTTAAAAGCAACATCCATTACTATAAATTGATGATGTCTTGCATAATCTGCTGCTTAACACACTCATACTATCTAATGGATGTTTATTAGAACTCAGGCACCATTATTATTCTAATTACTGTTCCTTGTGAAGAATGTTCTCACAAAAAAATTGTTTGTTGTATACTATCCACTGATGCCAGGCATCACCACCCGAAAAAAAAGTATGCATGTGTAATTCACGGATGGTTGTAAGTTTGGAGAGTCTGATGCTCCTTTCTCAACCACTCTCTTTTGCACTGCCTGTACAAAAAGTTTGATAACCCAGATCCACTATAATTTACTCACATTTAGCACTATTTTTAAAACACAAATCTCCTAATAATCTTTAGTATGGGTAAAAATGGTTTGCAGTTTGCATCCATCAGCCAAAGTACTTTTCTGTACTACAGTTCCAAAGGAACTTTTTTAGAAATTATATTCCTAATATAAGCAAGAAATCAGGAATTACTGTACACCTTTGCTAAATTAACTTCAGCATTTTCCAATTAACTACCTTTTTACAACTTATTAACTTTTCCTTTATATTAAAGCATAGCTGAAATGTTTGGGGAAGAAATACCCTAAGTAAAATATATTCCTGTATCACTTAATTTTTCTGTGAGGTTTGAGGTCAGTTTGTGCCTGACCACTCAAACTGGATTATCAAAGCCCAAGCAACAACAAAACAAAACCAGAAAAAAAAACCCCAAAAAACACCAGAAGAAAATCCTCAAACTTCCACAGCCTATTAAAAAAATCTTACTTGGAACTGTTGAAATAAAGAGGAAATCACCAAATAAGTTACAAACTTGCTCTGTAATAATGTTTTCTAAGATATTTGCTTAGAAATTGAGTATCTTGAATTGTATACTATGAATTATTCATCCAAAATTGATCAAACTTCTTTTTAAAGACAGACTACAGACAAGGGAGACAATCTGAAAAATGCCTGTTAGATTTTGTCTATTTGCACAAGCAAGGAATGAGTTCAGCCTTCCAGCTGCAGAGAATTTGAACATCTACAGTGAAAACCAGAGAAATCTTACATTAGCAGTTTTCTCAATGTCTGCAGAGCTACCATCTTCATTTTGCACTATGCCAAGAAATTACAAATTATTTTAAAAATTCAACTAACCTACAACAAACTTTAACCTGTCTTCTGGAAATGTAAGTACTGTTTGTGGCAAAGCTTAGTATTTTCAGCATCACTTGGATTCATTAGGAATTTGAGTAGTAACTTCAATCTAAACTTTTTCAACGTGATATGCATATCCATACACACTTTTCATCTATAGATAAATGAAACATTTTGCATATGATTTATGGTATTAGCTGATTAGAAAACATCTGACAGCAATATGGGAACATGCTGGCAACATCAAACATGTTGAAAATAATACTATGAGTAACAACAACTCAAACCTTGAACTGAAAAAATACCCTTTCAGATATGCTGAAAATTCCAAAACTGACTTGTGCAGAAACACAAGATTTAGTTCTCATATTAAAGAGCAATTCTTTTTAGTTATGTAGGAAAGATACATCACAATACATCAAGTAAACAAGCTGAGAGAATCCTAAAGCCAAACACTGACAACCCATTCTCTGAGTAATGAAAGTATATATATATAGAACAGCTATGATGGTTACAGCTTATAAACTTCAAGACAAATGGAAAAGAGAGCATGAAGTCATTGTTCAAAGCTCAGGTGCCAAACAACGATGATCTACTAACAGAAAGCAAGCAAGCAGTGCCTCTTACAAAGCAAGAAGTTATAACTTGTAAACTTTTTTGATCATGCAAAACTCATGTTCATAAAACAGAATTCCTCCTTTCCTAAACCCACGCTATGTGCAGTACAAGATAAGCATACTTTGACTTTGCATGTAGCAAATTACTACATGTATTTCTAAAGATATAAATTTACTCCATTTGCCACGTGCTAATCTGAAATAAAACAACAGTAAAGTACCATCCTTCTACTCTTGTTCTAACAGGCAGAGTAAAATTACACTGTGTATGTGTAAGGCGTAAGCAAGCATTGGCCTTTGGGAATTCTGTACACAAAGAAAGCTGATGCCGTGAGTTCCACACGTTACCTTCAACCTGAACTAACTCTCCAAGCTTGGTATTACAATAACAAGTTAGTGGCTTTACATTTATTAGATGAATACATAAAAATTCAAGTGACTACTACTCTGCATCCTGAATTTTAAATATGTTACTTTAACATGACATCCTGCAAAGCTCTTAGCAAATTACTTCCCAGTTTGAGGGCTGCAACTTCAGCTTAATTTCTTTTCCTATAAGCAATTTGTACCACAGCATTGAATAAAATTTCCAAAATTGAAATAACCATAGAACTATAAACAAAAATGTTGTTTCAGATCTTAGTTCTGCCTTTGACATTTCTTGACCATACAGCCATTTGACAGCATTTGTGGCTTACTCTTTCTCATTTTCTTTTATACAATGAGAAAAAAGGGTAAGAGTGACCAGCTAGGTGGTTTCAAAAGGAAAACACATTTCCTTGAAAAGTAGTCCAAACAGCAAATTAAAATCCCCTTTTCATTACAGTAAATGTTGATAGTTTTGATGGGTTTCCAAGAGACAGAATGCAAATTTATCATCGTACACTTCTCCTTTGCACTGTACTATAAATATTTTCTTTTTCTTGCACTAATAATTAAATGAGGACCAAATGCCAAGGCACAGGAGATACAAGTTTTGCTTCCTCTTGTATCTTAATGGACAGCAAGTGAATCTGCAAGGTTTAAGTTATTTGTAGCACAAAATTAAAAAGTAAAATAATCTGAACAAATTAAAATTTTATTACTTACACTAGTAATGATAAAAACTCATGCACTGACAGTCTCAAATCTTCTGTTATTAGGCATGAAGCTCAATAGTGCAAGTTTCCTTATTCCA